CTGGTGCATCTCTTGTTCCAGTGCCAGCTGGTACTCGTGCTGTAGCTTGTCCTTCACCACCTCATTGTTTTCAGCTACCTTCGTCTCGATTATAGTCGGCTGTTGCTGCAACCAAATTTCGTTCATTAAGAAACACTACAAATAAGAAGTCATCTCTTATTCGCATACCAACGCTCAATTTTGGTGATTTTTCTCGTAGACTCTTAGGTAAAGACGAACGTTTTTGCAAGCATAAAATGCATCCTTACCCCTATGTACATTTCATCTATTGCTTATTTAATGCTATCAATGAAACGACTTGAATGACTTTCAAGACGAAGATTTAAAGGCTTCTCTAGGCTCTACAGAACAAATTCGGATGACTTTCTCAATATCGAAAATAAGGCCGCAATCATAATCGAAACAAATATTATCGAAACAAAACTTACGTTTATGATATCTTTCTTGGCGTCTATTTCATCTCGCAGCAGATCCAGCTCCTTCTCTTTCTCTGCGTTCATCCTTTCCTCTAATTTAGTCAGCTCGTCCATTAACATCTTCCTCCCCTCATCTTTGGACGGAGGGAGAACACCTTGGTCTGAAGAATCAAAAAACGTTTTTTCTCCGTTATGAGTTTTCTCACTTTGAAGTTTTGTTTGAAAAATAATTATTGGCGTACTGAGATTTGTTGTGGCGCATTTTATTGTTTTTATAAAAAGCAAAAAAAGTTTACACAAAAGAACACCTTTAAGTAAACTAAATTTGTGTTTAAGTGGCTCCCAAATTGATGATTTAAGAATATTGTTGATAATACAGCCCTGTTTTTATCTTAAGGGATGTTGATACCTTGCATATTTGAGACGGCTTCGACAACTACCCCCTTGACCGCCTTCTTGGCGTTCTTCGAGAACTTCCCGTCGGATCCCAGGACCCCCAGATCTTCCAGTTCCTTCTGCAGCTCCTCCGCCTCCTGCTCAGTAGCTCCTACGAGCTCCTCTGCTATTTCCTTCACTCTCTTGATCTCCTTTTGCATCTTGTTAGCCTCCCCCTTTTGCCAGTCTCTAGAATTAACGGTGCCATAAAACCAATTGCAAACTAATTTAAATCTCAGAGGATAAGAAACTCCTTTCGAAGTCTATTACGTCCTTAAATTATCGAATTTTGAGTAGTCTTAAGTAGTACGGGTCACATCACCCACCAGTTTATTACCGTTGCAATAAGCAAGATTGTATTGCTATCGGTTACGAGGCTTTTTCCTTCGATAACAACTTTGTTCATAGGATGACGAATATTTGATCATCTCCGTCTGTATTTCAAGCGCTAGTTCTATTTACCCTTGCGATTTGTTAGGGTGTGGTCGAAATTTTGTTTTACGATGGTTGTAATTTTAACAACTCGGATTTCAGTTTTTTTCGTTCTTATTTCTTTTTATTGGCATAAAAGATTTCGGCTTATAATATATCGGCTTAATATTCAATTGTCTGACCTCTTGACATGTTTTTTAAAAGGAATTTTTATTCAAGTCACAATCAAGACAATTTAAAAAACTTGAGTAGATCAATTTTTTCAGATTTTTATCTTCGGTTTTCATTTTTATTTCTCGGTTAGTTCTTCATGCTGTGTGTGTTGCATCGCAAGTAGTTCGAAGCTTTGCTTCGCCGCTGCTTAAATTTTTTAAGGTGCAGTTATTTCAGTTCCAAGATTGCGGAGTTTAAAGAAATTTTCGAACCGTTTTTTTTTTCGAATTGTCGGCCATCGTAGAATTGTGACCTAGTGACCTAATTGTGAATGGCCTAATTTTGAGTCACTTCAAGGGAAGCAATGAGAAAAATTGTGCTTCTCTTTGGATCGCACAAGATTTTCTGATGTAATTTGGTTTTTTTGTCGGCTTAATGTTTTCGTCCCAATTTTTGTCGGCTTACTGGCCGGGTGTTTTCCTGTTGAAATTTTTGGGCTGATTTTTGCAGTAGTTTGCAAAACTTTCTGTAAGATAAGAAAAATTTTTGCAAATCCAAACATAGTCAATAGGCAGTTGCAAAAGAGTCAAAGAATAAAAAAAAACTGACTTGTTTTTTTTTTTGAAAAAAAGTTCTCACATTCGAATTTCAAAGAAAAAAGATACCCCTAAAGCTCTTTGAATTTGTGGAAAAATTTATGATTGACACTTTTTTTGATAAAATTAGCTTAAATTGAGAAAACTAGATCAAAAGGTTAAGTTTTGAAACTACAAATCGATCATGATTTTTTTGCCTTATTTCTTTTTTCGTAATTAAGAACCGAATTTTGTCTGCCTTTCAAACCACGAACTGAATAAATGCACATATATCTAAGGGCATTCATAAATGCATCAATATTTATGAATGTACTTTTGTAGTTATTAGAGCATTTTAACACTTTATGAAAAAACTTTATTCAACACTTTATTGAAAAAACGAGAACAAAATCATTCGACCTATATCAGAGTCTAAACTACGTTCGTCAGCTCTTAAAAAATTGCATTCATTTTTCAGTTTTTGGATTTAATTTTCTGATTTATTTTTAATATAAAAGATAAATTAAAATTACATCAAATTAAGATAAATTTGATGTAATTGGGTTCCCAATAGGGTGTCACGGAAAATATTTTTCAATGATTTTGTGTGTCAATTAATTTTGAAGTTTTTTAAAATTACATTTATTTTTTTCATTTTTTAGGAATATTGTATTTGTATTAGAATATTGTATTTGTGTTGCGAAATTCTCTTGTGCTTCGATTTTTTAACTTGAGCCGATTGCTAAAGAAAATTTCATGACTCATTATAGCCCCTATATTAGTATTAAAAACAGTGTGGGGGCTATAATGTGAAGGAGTATAGGAATGGGAATAGATTGTTCCAGAACTGGGAACATTGTTTCATGTTCTTACTTTAAAGTGTTCTCGGCTTGCACGGTGACTTGTTGTTTCTCCTGATGCTGAAACTGCTCTAATAGCTTGGCCATGTTATCCATCATCGCTTTCCGCTCAAATGCCTCCCGATTCAAGTTCTCAAGCTCTCCCTAGATCAAAGTAGCCGAAGTGATTGTTTTGTCAAGCTATTTCACTTAAGTTTTACTAAAATATAGTTTGCCGAGGATACGGAAAAGACTTATTTTTAAGCAAGTAGAACATAATTGTTTTTCGAAATTATGCGTCATGCCTGAAAGAACTGCAAAATGTTGACACAAAAAAGAGGATTACATTGAAAATCACAATTGACCAAATCTGTATGCAATGTGGCCATGCTGATAATGTATAAAATGTGGACGTTTTTGCTCTGATTTGCCCACCTGCATGTTGCATATAGCCGCCTTGTAGTGCGACATGAGCTCCCCCACATGACGTCGGTCGTTGAACGTCAGATGCTGTCGGGCGGCGTGGGGTGGTTGTTGCGGGGTGCGCCAGTAAGTGCGGAACATTGGTACATTGGGGACTGGAGTGCCCGCGCTAGGATGTGCGTGGGCGTAATGGCCTCCATGGGGCATATGAGGTCTCATCTTTCGATTAGAATGCAGTTAGAAAAATTCTCCGAGTACTGCTTCAAAAGTTTGGTTATACATGTAGTTAAATAAATTATTTTATTTTCAGACTGGTCTCGGAGTGATCTGTGCCAGATTGCTGATTAAACGGAAACAGCGCAGAGTTAAGCTTGTTTAGCTTGATTGATGCTCTAGTGCAATATTTGTGCATAATTTTCATTATTCACGTTTCATTAAAGAACTGAGATTCCATACTACATTATCAATGCATGGTTTAAGTTTTTAACGGACTAAATATGTCAGTCAATTCGGAAGGATAAGCTTATTAAAAAGGCTTCCATTACCGTGCTGTTTTTAGACACTTTTCTTGATTGTAGGCATACTTGTTGCAATGTGATTTTTCAAATGTGATCATCGAATCAACTTGCGCAGAAATCTTACCACATAAAAAGGCACCTTAGAGTATACAGTTGCTTTACTTTTAAACTTGGTTCAATCAACCTTAGCGAAATGCGTAGAATTGTTTAATTCTTTTAGGCTGAAACTTCAAAATGAGAACCAAGTTATTCTCCCCTTCACAGACTGTCTTGTACTTGGACTGAAAGTTCTCGCAGAATTAATTCAGTGCAATTTGTTTTGCAAAATTCGGGCTCAAAATTTTACCCCAAAAAGGGATCATTTTTGGCTTTTTTAGTCGATCAAAAATTACACCCAAACTACAGTCAATTAATGTTAAAATTAAATCATAGTCAAATTTATATCGAAGTGAGCCTCTTACGTAGCCCAACAAAGTTTAACATGGGTATAAGCTCCAACAAAAGCGCAAAACGTTTATAATTACTTTTTAAATAAAAATTTGGTGTTTAATAGAGTAAAAATGGCTTTTTTTGTCTATCAAACAAAAATCAATTAATTCATACGATTTGTTAACCTTTGCTGGGCTGCGTTTTGATATAAATTTGGCGGCATTAGTTGACTCAGTAGTTTGGGCGTAATTTTTGATTTACTAAAAAAGCCAGAAAGGATCCATTTTTGGGTAAAATTTTGGGCCCAATTTTCCCCAAACAATTTGCACCATATTAATATTGCGAGAATTCTAAGCAAGTTTGTCAAAATCATTATTCACCTAAAATTAACCCAATTTGAGAGAAACATGTTTTAAATTTCACGTTTTGTCCGGATAAGTTTATTCAGAACTAGATTTGCGTTAATTTTTTTTATTTGATTCAATCATGCTTACCGCAGTTGTCGAAATTTATTCAATTCTATTAGGCTGAAAATTAGAAATTAGATTTTGTTATTCCCGCTCCCCAGACTAACATGGGGCTTGGTGAATGGAGTTTATTAAAACATATTTGGTTGTGTTAGCTTAGAAGACTTCGGATGCGACAGCTTCTTGTTTTGCTTCTTTTGTTACGTCTACAATACTAGTGCATTTTTTTTGTTTGTTTGCATTGACTGTCTTTTCTACTTATTTATTTAATCTATTAAGTCTTGCAAATATTTAATTGAAACCAGTGAATTTAAATCTGTTGCTTGATTCAAGCTGAGATATTTTATGCGATTTTTTAAATTGGAATTTTCATCTTTTTCAGATCTGCTTTTGCTTCGTTTACCTGACAGTTGGGCCATCAGCGATGTGTTATCGGGGATATCGTAGATAGGATTAGACGCAGAACTCTCTGCTCTCATCTCCTGTTCAAAGTTAGTCCACTGGACCTAAAAAAATTATGCAGGTTCTTTTACACGCAATAAGCTGTTTAACAGTTTTTTCAATTATATCTTGCCATGATTTTTTTGGGTGCTTCAAATTTAATTCAAAATCTAAATGAATTCGTGTTAAAGAAACTTTTTGTTCACTATTTTGATCGGTAAAAGTTGTTCCGACCACGCCATAAAGGGATCATTAGGATCAGCTTGTTTTTTTTTGGTGCACATATCGATTAAATCTTAGAAAGCTCGTAGGATTTCAAATGTGGAATCATAATAAAGGCTTTTTTTTGGTCTTATGTTCGATTGTAGTGTCAAGGAAATGGGTCTTGAGTTTTTCCGTTTTTCTGACTGAACAAATTTCAAGACTGCGTTTCCAATCTGAATATTCCTCAATTTTTGAATTACATGAGCTATTAGCTTATCGCTTGTTTATCAAATCAGTCATCTTAAGCTATCGCACTATCTAAAAAACCGAGATTTTCACTTTCCGTTTTTGATCGTTTTTTTTTTGAAAATTCATTACGAGGCCAAACTGTGTATTTTCTGCATTCTAGGAGGAGAGGAGGATGTTAACTTGATCTAAGATTTCAATCTAGAGAACAGGTTCTGCTGATTTTGCCTGCGTCATTGGCTTAGGCCCTAATTTTTTGTTGAAAAAAGTAAGGGCCGTAAGAAAAGTTCTTTTTTTAATCAAATCTTGGTAGTTTTTTGAAAACCTTTCAACTTGTCTTGGAAACTACCCTCATAAATCTCGGACGCAGGGTCCAATCGAGAGAACAGATTGTCGGGATCTTCCCTAGATAAACTATTTCGCCCTAGATTTGGAATTTGATCGTTTGCGAAACTTTTATGGACTTGGGAAAAGTTCAGTTTTTGACATTTTGAACGTTTTTGAAACTTTTTCACCTCTCATGAAAACAATCCTGAGCCATTGTTTTAGTACAAATGTGTTGAATTTAAAATTAAGGTCAAAATAGTTATTTTTCAGAATTTTGGAGCGCACGGAAATTCAATTTGGTGCAGCTAAAGAAAGTAGTTTGATTTATCGAATTCGAATTCTTGGGTTTTATGCACAAAAAGGGTGAAATCCCTCATGCGCGAAGGACCGAATGCGCGAAAATAAAAATCAGATTTCAGTAATCTAAATTTTGGAAAGAAAGTAAGCATTTCCAGGGACTGGAGTATTGATATTGGCCGAATCTAAAAAAGGCAGAAATATGCAAAATCTTCAAATTTTTCATTGACCCCCGCAAAAGTGGGACAAATTTTACATTTCAAGGGTTTCGTAATGAAAGTAGCAAAATATCGCTTCATTCAATTCATTTTACGCTCATTCGGTCCTTCGCGCATGAGAATAGCCCCCCACAAAACGGCCCAAAATCAATGTTTACATCTAGAGTTAAAACTTATGCGGTCGAAACTGATTGGCTAATATTAGCCATTCAAATACAAGCAAAATGTTCAGGCAATTCAATCAAAACTTTCAGCAGCTTAAATATTAGCCAAAATTACCACAATGTAATGTGAAACTGTAGCTAAAATATATTTTTTTCAAGTAACTGATATTTGGCCCAGACAAAAAACATTTCGTAAAAGGGCTTCAGCAGAATAATTTTTTCGGCAACAATTTCATCGGGTTGAAAGTTAAATTGAAATGCTGGGTCATGTTGTTTGAGTGTCTGATTAGCCAATCAGATTCAACCGTATTACTTTGAGTTTGAGTTCAAGAAAGATGTAGAAATACCGATTTTGGGCCGTTTAGTGCATAATACCCGAATTGTTTTCTAAAAATCCACCAAATCCCACCCTCGAGAAAATCCTAGATCAGCCCCTGATTGTTATATTCAATTTTTATTGAAAAATAACCTGTTCTTAAGTAAGTAATTAGAAATCCTGAATTTTTGTCTACTGAATTAAGTTCTATAAATCTGGGTTTGGTTTGTCCGGTTGAATAAACAATTAGGCAGTGAAGCATTAAAATCTATATTTGCGTCGACAGCTTTGTGATAAATATTTAAAAGGCCTGCGTCTATGACTTTAAAAATAATAATAAGCGTTTCTGTTTGTTTAAACATGAGTTTCAGTAGAAAGTATCTTGTGTTTTGCAGCCTCATATCCTGAATTTATGGCAGCAAGCAAAAACGTGCTGCCATTTTGGTTTTTTCGCCATTCTATATTTCCCTTGAAACGAATTTTTGATTGAATCTTCAAAATACAAGCAATTGTTTGAGCGAATTGTTAGACTGAGTTGGTTTTTTAGTATCAACTAACATGGCCGCCTGTATTTTTCAGGCCTGTCTTTCCTTTTGTTCCACTGAAGCATATTTGCGTCTAGTGAGGTGATGTGAAAAGATTTCAACTAGAGTGAACAATATACAATGAAATTTGATTATTAAGTTCTTTTAATAATGCCGCCGATTATTTCAAAGCCATCAGCCATTTTCCCGGATTGCGAAACTAAAAATCACGGCAAATGTGAATTAACATCATCCCTTTTAGAAGAAAAGCCTCCGTCAGATTCAAATACTCCCAAACGCACCATCTCGGGAGTGGAATTCGTCGAACCTGGTAGGCCTGGAAGCTGTACCAGGGATTTGATCTCAAAAAGGGAATCTGTAGACATGGTGACCAGTAGTTCTTTCAATATTAACATCGGACCTGTGTACAATGAACGGACGTTTCACTACAATGCGTACAAGGTATGTGAAGCAGCAATGACATGCATTGGTATTTTTTCTATTCTGAACACCTTAGGTCACGGTGTGAGTTGGCAATGTATAGATATTCGATTTTACTGCGCCAATTATGCTGAAAATTTTTGAGTATACTTTTTGTGCGTCCTTGATTTTATATCGATAATCATTTAAAATTGGAGCGCAAGTGAATTGTGAAGTCAGCCAGTAGCGTTTCGGGATTCGACCCCTGACTACCCAAAGGGCCCCCCATTGGTACAATTTTAAGACCTTTATTTTTGGCTGGCTGGCCCTAAATTTTTTTTTCAAAGGCAAATTTGGCGCCTATATGTACTAGTTGTAAATGGGGAGCGCGCGCCAATAAAATGCGCTTTTTTGGTCAAAACTGTCCAAAAAGTGCATTAGCCTAATTGTTGTGATAAACTTATTAAATAGTTTCAGAGACGGAGATGAAAACTGTTGATGTTGATGGTCCTCAAGACGAAATGTCCACGCTAAAATATCATGGTCAGACACCAATTTGCAGCTCAACGAACAAGAGACCCTTTATTGAACTCAGTCCCTGCGTAGAAGATAATGGTGCAGGACAACTAGACATTTCGAAGCAAGTGGAAGATGCAATTATTAAGTCAGTTAATTTGTTAATGCCGAAGATGATCGAAAACATAAAAGAACAAATCAAGAGCGTTGTTGAGACGGCGATTGGAACAGCCTTATCTAACTTGAAAAACGAAATGATGTTATAGACGAAAGAAGAGATTTCCAAGCTGGAAAAGAGAGAAGCTTTGAGAACCCTATCAGAAGCGGAACTATTAGAAAGCTACAATCGTAGAGATAACGTGAAGATCATAGGCCTGTCAGAAACCTTGAGTAATGATGGAAAACGAGAACAAGTGGAAACAACAATCAATAAAGTAATAAGTGTTGGAGACGCAATTGACGCAAAGATAACCCATACCGATATTTCCATTGCACACAGGCTGTCAACCAGATCCGGCAGAGACAAGCCTGTGATTGTCAGATTTTCGCGGCGAATCAAAAAGATTGACCTTCTTCGCAAAAAACGAACTTTATCTCAAATTAATGGATTTGGTGATGTAAAGATATTCGAAGATTTAAGCACAGCGCGGGTTAACTTTTTACGTATTATGAAAACAGACGAAAGGATTCAATCAACATGGACACGAGAAGGGACTATATATTTTATCTGGAAGGAAGATCAAAGAATCTATAAGATCAATGGACTTTGGGAGGGCGGCGACTTTCTGGATTACAGCATAGATAACGTGTTAAAGTGCTTTAACTGTGTTTTCGGGAATTCAAATGGACAAAGCGATCCTTGAAAACAGAAAATATGAATTCAGTGGTGCTAGTATCAATGTTAATTTTCTATTATCTAATGTTCGATCTATTAAAAAACACCAGGATGATTTAGAAGCACTTATAAGTAGTCTCGAGTCTCCTATTAATATTCTTTTCCTAACTGAAACGTGGTTAAATGAAAACGATAATATTAATATGTATAAAATCAAAGGCTTCCAAACCGTAATATCTAATAGTAGAAACACACGAGGCGGCGGGACCATGATTCAACTCGATGAAAAAGTTAATCTAATTGATAGGTTTGAATGTAGCTTACCTGAGTCTGTGGCAATACTGGCCGAAATTGGAGGCAATAAAATTGTACTAATTGTAGCCTACATACCACCTCGTTATGATAAAAATAAGTTTATCGAAGAACTGGATAAAGAATTAGAAATACTTGCTCAAAAGAATATACCTATTGTATTAGCAGGTGATTTTAATATTAACACTCTCAGATTAAATAATCTCCAGCAATCATATTTAAACTCAATAACAGCTAATGGCTTTGAGCTCTTAGCTAAAAGTACAACAAGGTTATGTGAATCGACTGAATCTTGCTTAGATCATTTCATAACCCGAAAAATTGATAACCCAATCATTAGAGTGCTTGATAATGAATGTTTTTCTGATCACTATCCCGTAACTTTACAAACAGATTTCAATGAAAGGCTTTTCGATATAAATAATTCATACCGCGATATGTCGTTTCTTATGAAAGAGAAAACACTCAATCTTGTAAATAATGATAACATTGATGATGCTTATGAAGAATTTTATAAATGCCTATTTGAATCGGTAGAGTTATTTGCTCCTATACGAAATAAAACATTAAAAACTAAGTCAAACGCGCCATGGTTTAATAAAAAGGTCAAAATTTCGATTTCAAAAACGAATCGACTATATAAAGTATGGAAATATGACAAATTGAATACCAAGAAAAAAGAAGCATTTATTCAAGAGCGTCATAAAGTTGAAAAACTAATAAGGGTAACCAAAAAAGAGTATTACTATAGCAGATTTAATAAATGTATTGGAGACTCGAGACAAATATTTAAAGTACTTAATGAAGTAACAGGTAAATCAACAAAGAGATCTCGTATTACAAATCTATCGGTTAATGGTGAGTATACATCAGATATCATATCAATATCTAATTGTTTTAATGAATATTTTGCCACAATAGGCGAAAAACTCGCTGACTCAATAAAGCCGGTGAATGAAATCTTGACTAATCATGATTCCGATAAATCAATTTTCCTTTTCAACTGTTCTTTTGTGGAAGTAATAAATACCATAAACGATTTAAAACCCAAACAAACTTGTGGAATAGATGAGATCAGTAACTTGCTTCTGATTAGAAGTTGCTATGTCATAGCTCCATATCTTACATACTTATGTAATTTGTCTTTCAATTCGGGCATATTTCCAAAAAATCTTAAACTGGCAAAAATCTTACCGCTTCATAAAGCCGAAAGCAGATCAGATATGAATAACTATCGTCCGATTGCACTATTAAGTAGTATCAGCAAGGTTTTTGAAAAACTTATGCACTCTCGTATATACAATTATCTAGAAAAGTTCGACCTATTGTACGATCGTCAGTTTGGTTTCCGTCAAAAATATGCGACAATAGATGCCTTAGCAGAATTGACTGAACGCATTCGGCTAGGCAATGATAAAATCTTTAATTGTAGTCTTTTTATTGATCTGAAAAAAGCTTTTGATACACTTGATCATAAAATCCTTTTGTCAAAAATGGAAAAATATGGAATACGTGGAAACTGCTATCATTGGTTTCAAAGTTATCTCTCGGAAAGACATCAATGTGTTCATATCAATGATTATACATCGGATTGGTTACCTATAAAAACCGGAATACCGCAGGGTTCGGTTCTAGGTCCTCTACTTTTCCTTATATATATCAATGATTTAGATGATCTAACTTCACATTCCGATGTTTTCCTATTTGCGGATGATACTAATATCACTAGCAGAAGCTCCAGCATCGAAATATTCCAAAATGACTTGACAAACGTCGCGAACTGGCTGTGTGCAAATAAATTAACAATAAACACTGACAAAACAACTGTAATTAGTTTTAATAAAAATAGAAGTGCTTCTAATATCGATATTAAACTACTTGAAACTGTGTATAAGCCTGAACCTTCCTGTAAATATCTAGGAGTTGTTTTAGACAGCAAACTGTCATTTTTTCATCATATTCAAAAAATTAAAACAAAATTGGGTAGGCACTGCGGTGTTATTTCTAAGATGCGTCATTATGTTCCAAAGTCCATTTTATTAAAGTATTATCAGTCGAATATTAAGCCTGTAATACAGTACGGCATACTAGTCTATGGTGGAACCAGTTTTTCAAATTTAAACCAAATATTAATTCTTCAACGGAAAATTGTTCGAATGATTTATTTCAAAAATAAATATGATAGCATAACGGAAACTCTGATAGTCAATAAGATTTTAACGGTTCATGAGCTATACATCTATGATCTGTTAAAGTTTTGCATTCGTTCTTTGAATCAAAAACATTCTACTCTTTTTTTGAATACAATGTTTTCTTTGAAACGTTACAGCTACAACACAAGGAAATCCAAATATACTTCATTTGTTACCCATTGTTGTAAGAATAACACTAAAGCAAATTCACTGACTAATCGAGGTTCGAAATTACTTAATTTGCTCAACGAGAATAATTTACTGCCCCAAAATATTGAAAAGATGACTAAAAATGAGGTAATAATTTTTATCCACAATTTTAGGGATAGCTTTATTCTGGGTAATTGCGATCTAACTAAATATATTTTTAATTAACGTTCCCCTTTTTTTCAATGCAGTGGTTAAATGCTACACGACAACCATATATGAGCTGCGAATATACCCTAAAAATATGAGCCTCCAAATCCTTGTAGTTTTCGAAATATCGCTGTTTTTTTCTGTTTTTTTTGTTTTTTGTTTTTTTTTCTGTTTTTTTTTTTGTTTTTTTTTTTTTTGTTTTTTTTTTCACAGTTATTTATATCCTCTAACAACGGTGACAGTGCTTCAATAGAAGGACTGCCCCCCCCAATACAATAGTTTTTTTATATCCGAAATATCGCCTTTTTAATGAAAATATCAAAAAATCAAAAATATATTTTATTTTTATCATTATTTTGTTTAAATAACCTGAATTGTTGATGTAAACCGGGTAGACTATAAGTGGGCGCTCAATGTGCCTTTTGTCTATCCTCTCCGAGTTATTTATTTTGATGCTGTGTCTATTTTGATGTTTTATTATAACTTTGGAGAAATAAATTCTTTCTTTCTTAAAAACGCCTTTTTTCCTGTTTTTCAAAAACTTGCCTGCGACGCAAAATTTTTGGCCAAAACAGGTTGTTTCTATTAGTGCTTTGAGAGAGCACGGAATAAGGATTTGGTCGACGTAAACAAAAAACTCGACAAACTTTATGAACTTATGGCAGCTCTCCTAAGCGTTTGCTTCGGATGAAGTCAGCAATGATGGAGTGAACAAATTGTTGGAAATTTGATGTTAGCGAATCAGAGCTCAGCATTCAAAAGTATCCAAGAGCAAAAATCTCAAAGTAAGAAAGTAAATCTAGGCCAATGGAATTATCATTGAACGATCACAAAATGAGCAGATACATAAGCTTTTAAATTTTGCCAGATCGAATACACTTTGGAAAAAAATTTGGCAATTGAATTATAAAACACCAATTTCATCATAACTGCACGGATTACTTCAAATATACTAGCAAGATCAAGTGTCTTGTATTCGGGGACAAGACTTTTTCCCGTAAACAAAACTTTTCTTACAAATCTTACTTGCTTTTCTGTTTTGCTTTATTATTGAACCTTAACAACTTCCAGGGTTGTTCTCACTTGGCCTAAAGACTGCGTGGTTGCCTTTGTACCTTTAAGTCTGCTGTTTTCAGCCTTTGTGCTTTCTTTTTTTTTCAATAATTACGAATTAGTTTTTTTTTTGTTTAAAATTGAAATTTTGGTCTTTTGTGTGTCTGCTCAAATTTTGTCGGCATATTTGACAAATCACGGACTTTTGTTGAAGCGAGCAAATTACATAGTAGTTGCAAGTTTAGCCTGGAGGTAACGAATAGGCCTGGTAAGGCAAAAGTCCTGTGTTCGAATCTGACCAGGACCTGTTTTTTTTCAAACGGTAAAAATTCCGGTTCAAAAAAAAATCGGCCTTTTATTTGTCTGCTTATGTTTTTCGGCTTTGTTGCCAGATTTAAGAATCGTTCAACTTTGGTGCAAACAAGTTTCACTGTAGTTGCTTAGTGTCTTAGCATTTTGGAAATCTGGCTGAATCAAAGTTTGTCTTTTTTTGTCAAATTTTTTTTGTCTTTTTTTTTTACTTAGTCTGTTTCGGCTAATTTTTTGTCTTTTTAGTGGCCCCTTATTGCATCGTTTGATGAAAATTTTTTTGTGTGTTCTGAGGGGAAGGGAAGAGAAGTTTTTTATTAAGAGTTTTTTTGATTTTTTTGGGCATGAAGGGTTTCTGCTGAGGTTTTTTCACTTGTTACCGCTTCGTAAGATTTTTCCGATGCTAATTTTGCATTGTTTTGTCTTGGCATGTTTTTTTTTCAAAACTATATTTTTTTCATTTTAAAAGATTGGCTGTATGTATACTTGTAAAACATCGATAAAACTTTTTTGCTGATGATTTTTTGGCTTTCGATTAAGCTCCTGGTTTAGTTTCCGAATTGTGTATACCACCTTGTTTTCAGTACCTATATGGCTTCCGTGGATACTATTTGAGCAGTACATGTATGTTTTACTAGAAGATTTTGCCGAACAATTTGGTTGATTTTCAGCTAATTGGCTGTCAGCTTTAATTCTGTTGGCTTATCTATCTTTTATTTAATTGGCGTTTCACGTCACATATGTTGAAGAAGTCCCGGTCTTGACATGTTTAAGCTTTTTCAACGTAATATTTTAGCATGTTTAATGAAAGAATTTTTGCACATTTAAGTTGAATCGTATATTGCAAATGTTTTAGAAATTTTTTCAATTTCCAAGGTCATCCTCGATTCTTACCACCTATCTCCAGAAGCATGAATGCTGTACAGATTTATGCTTCTTTCGCAATGCAAACTATTTAGTGCTTTCTTCTCAGTGTTTGTTTTAAGAAATTCAATTTCTTAAACCTATTGCTCTTAAACCTAGCTTAAACGTTCAAGGTTTGCAATCCTGGCCTCCAAATGTTAGTGCTCAAATCCTTTTGGCTACCGAGATATGGCGTTTTTATGGTTTTTTATTTGTTTGAACAAGATTTTAAAAAACAAAAAGAAAACATGAAAATCTTTACTCCATGGTGGATTGCTGCGATGGCACGCTCAGGGTTGTAAATCTGACCTTCAAATATTATTGCTCAATTCCTTTTGGTTTCCGAGATATGGCGTTTTTTACGATTTTTTTTTTCAAAAAAAATTGATTTGTTCATTTATTTTTTTTAATTTTGAAGTTCTCCAACTCTATGATGGAGTTTTTCAGAGTAAACTCAGTGCTGGCAAATATGGCATCCATCTATTACTGCTCAAATAATTTTGATAAATGGCGCTTTTGGATCTAATTAACAATCTTTCCCCCCTCTGCCCTTTCAAGAAAGGGCGAGAAGATTGTTACGTTGTTTAGGCTAGTCGAATTTTCTACCAATCAGAATGCAGCAAACTTATACTGATCAATACGAAGCTCCAGTGCTAATGTACTGTACTTTTTAATAGTGGTGGAGGTTCCTTGGTAGATACGATAAGGGGGAGGTTATGTATATTTTTTTGTTTTTTAATTTTTTTCTATAAATTTTGATTGATATTACACTCTGGGGTTGCAAAACTGGCCTCCAAGTGCTACTGCTCAAATCTTTTTGGTTTCCGAGATATGGCGTTTTTTATGATTTTTTTTCAAAACAATTTTGATTCCAAAAAGTTTAAAATTACTTGAGTTTCTCCTGCTCAAATCCGTTTCGAGTTTTTTTTTTCTTTTTTTTCCAGGGTACACTATGGGATGTACCTTTTAGTTTGCAAGATTTGACCTTTCCTGTTCTACGCTGAAAACTTTCGAATTCCTCTTTGATACTTTTTGAGTGTCTTGCTGTTTTAATCGTTGTATCGCAAAGCGTGCGAAGCTCAGCTTCGAATCTGTCTTTAATATTGTCGTCGGTTTGGTGCAAAAATCATTCAGCGATGTCGGTCTCTCCATCATGAGAATAGCCACCCCTTTCCTATGATTTACAACTGAAATTGAGCATGTGAACTGAAGTCGAATTTTGTAAAAAGTCCCATTCGACTACTAATTTCATAATTAAAGTTTGAAAACGCCGCGGATATCAAAAAACACTTAATCCAACGTTCTTAATCTTACGTTTCTAATTTTACATTTCAGCGTTCTTTTTTTACGTTCCTAATTTTTCATTCAAAGGTTTCGTTTATCAAAAAAATCGAATTCTTGGAGTTGAAGGCGATTTGGCCTTTTTTTTTGTTTCCAGTAATTTTAGACTGTTAGGCTATGCTTAAGTAGTTTAGCAAGATACATGTTTGACTTTCAGTTTAACAAAGAGTTCTAAAAATTCAAGTAAAAATTTCTCGCGATCGGTAGAAACACAGAAATATCACGAGTTTCATTTCACGCATACAAAAAATTTTTAAACAAACCTTTCGAAATGCCTTTCATCGTTTATCAATACTTCAAATTTTTACTAGAAAACATTTGCTTATTTTTCACATAACTGATATTCAACAATTTTTTCAATTTGCTGCACTAAAATATGAAACTGAAAACAACTTTCAACTATTTAAGCCTGGTACAAAAAACAACAGAAACTGATACTTCGCAGTTGCTCCATTTGCGTAAAACTAACTGTCTGAGTAAACTGAAAGACATTTAGGTTTTGTTACTTTAGGTATTATATGTTGAAAATATTGAAACTAATGACAAAAAATAAGGATGCAGCACCCGTGCTTACTAATCAATAAAACAATCAGGGATTGAGAAATTTTTGAAGCATTTTCGAATACCAATAGAAAGTTCAGGCTGCGAAGTACAGAAAAATTGACTAGCCATAACTAGAAAAAACTCAAGAACAGGGTTTGATCTCTATTTAATCATTTCTACGTTTGTATAGAAAACGTTACAATGAAAACTTTCATTTGATGTATTTGGGGAAAAATTTCATTCTCATGATATTTGGGCCAGGGGCTGATTTAGGGCGGAGAGGCGAACGCCACCCCCCCCCCCCCCCCCAGGAATTCGGTCACCTTTTGTACTAATTTGAGAAATCAATTTTTGGTCGTTGGACCCTAAAATTTTTCTAAGGGCGCCTTCGGCTTTAATATAAACTTATTTTTAGGGGGGAGCGCGCGCCAAAAACGTTTTTTTTTTGGTCAAAATTTTCAAAAAATGTGCCTAAAAACGCCTTTTTTGGACTGTTTTTTTCAAAATTTCGTCTGCGAAGAAAATTTTGTCTGCGAAGAAAATTTGGCTAAAACAGGTTTTTTTTGGTGCTTTGAGATAGCTCGGAAAATCAATTTGGTCAAGCTTAAAAAAGGATCGACAAAGTTTTCGAAATTTTTTTGAAAATCCCCCCCTCGAGAAAATCCTAGATTCGCCCCTGATTTGGGCGTTATGCCATTTGTGAACGTCGTTTCAAAAATTTTGGTGTATAAAATGGTGAAGATTATTAAACAAGCATTATCTATGCGTACTTAGCAAATATTTTTTGAAGCGTTATCTTGTTTGTCATAATAAAATAACAATTGTTTCATCGCATAAAACATTTTTGTTCATTAACTAATGGTATTCAGCAGCATTGGATCATTAATTTTAATGCATTGAAACTGTGAATAAGTTAAGAAGCATACCGATAGCTGAAGTTTTGAGTAGCCATGAGTAGTTTGTGTTGTTCTCTGCAGTCGTGGAAACCCAGATCAGGAACGTCGCTTCACTTCATATCTCTTTCCGTGCTAGTCTTCATCGTCTACATATGCTACGGCGTCCTTCAAGAGGCCTTGTTCACGCAGCCTCAGTTGAAACCCTTCGGATGGCTCCTTACATGGATCCAGTTTGCTTTCTACGTCCTGTTCGGGGGCGCAGAGTTCGTATCCAGAGGGGGGTTTGTGAGGAAGATCCCAATGAAGATGTACTTCCTGTTGGCGTTTCTGACCGTGGCGACTATGGGATTGTCCAACACCAGTTTGAGATATCTCAACTACCCCACCCAGGTCATCTTCAAGAGCTGCAAGCTCATTCCAGTCATGATTGGAGGCATCTTCATGCAGAAAAAGACGTATAAGTTTGTGGACTACTTCGGTAAGAATCGTTTCGTTCTTTTTTATTATGGTAGTAAAAGTACGAAACGTATATACGGTATAAAGTAGTTAATGTTTCAATATTTCAAATTGTTGATATTAGTTTCTGCGGTGAGAATTGACGGAACCAGTCTCTTATGGAGATTATGGAAAATTTACTCGGCCATCCGGAAACAACTTCGAACTGACTTATAGAACTGCTACGAAAAAGCAATCAAATTATGCCTTTGGTTTTAGCCATGTTCCTACTATGTAGTGGCCTCATCTGGTTCTCACTAGCCGACAGCACTGTCCAGCCTAATTTTGACATCACTGGAATAGTTGTCATATCCTGCGCTCTCGTTGCAGACGCCGTCATAGGCAACGCGCAGGAACTCTTCATGAAGAAATACGGCGCCGTCAACACAGAAGTCGTATTCTACTCATACCTTATCGGAACCGTTTATATTTTCCTCATTGTTCTCTTTGAAGGAACTCTCTTGCAAGCATTGCCGCTCATGGATTCTCAGACGTTATTTAAAGCCTTCTTATTTTCGTTGACTGGTTATTTCGGTGTCAATTTGGTCCTTGACTTAGTAGTAACATACGGGGCACTTCTTGCAGTAACAGTTACGACTTGCAGAAAGGCTGTCAGTATTATAATCTCGTTTCTCGTCTTTTCCAAGCCTTTTACAGTGCAATACGTGTTTGCAGGAGTAGTCATTTTCTTGGGTATTTTCCTAAACGTCTATTCGAAGAACTCGGAGCCAATGAAACGAGCTGCTGGAAAAATGATGGCCGTTATCTATTCCATTTTCGGAATTTCTCAGAGCCGCAGAACAGCTGAAGAAAAGTTGGTGCAAAGTGTATAATAGGTTAAATGTTGGTTGTGTGAAAGTTAATTTTATTTCGAATTACCAACACGTATACTGATGATGATTTAATTAGAAAACATAGAATTTAAAATTATGTAAATTGGCTGTGCTTTTCATCACTTTTATTTTATTTTTCGTGTACATGTTTTCTAGGGTTATTTCTAAATTTTATGATTCAGAATCTATGTTTCGCATTTGTTCCAATAGTTTTGAATGAGAAAAACTAAAGAATTTTAACATCGATGACGAAGAAGAATGTGCGACGTTTTCCCATCACAGCTTACTGCAGCCCACCAGGGTTTGAAAAAAAAACGTTAAGTCGCAATTGTTATTTTTTGATTTTTTTTTTTCAGGAAAAGTCTGGCTAATAAATTTGTTCAGGCTAATATTTACTTTTTTCTAGATTTGTTTTTTGATTTGTTTTTAAGTTCAGTTTCAGTTCATCTCTTGTTAAAAGAAAGGCAAAAGTATAAGTGTAAATATCACAAAGAAGCTGAATGACATCCAAATTAAAAAGTTTGAAATCTTAAGTTCAAAGAGCTTCAAAGTGATTATAGTTTTCTTCCGAAATCGAAAACTCAAATAAAATTGTAGATTTACACTTCCAACTTTGTTAACTATAATTTTTGTTGGAATGCTTGGGAAATTGTGAGTTGTTTATGCAAAAAGAATGAAAAGATAAGGGAGAACCAGTGAAATGACTAGTATACTATCTTAAATTGACAGAAGATTGACGGTTTAAGGCGACCCTTTTGTGTGCTCGTTGCTTGGAAACGAAAAAACATAACCCACCCCAGAAATTAACAGAAAAACTATCCGTCGGTCTTAATCAGGGGCACAACAGGGTTTAACTTTGCCCCCGGCCCTACTTCCTCCGTACTATGTAAAGCCTTATTTCCGTGGGCAGGGAGAGTGGTGGCATCCATTTTGCCGTATCCGGTCCCACCTTGAGGAGGTGGAAGACATAGAGAGCCTCCAATGCTGTCCAAAGTATATTCGAATGCATGCTACAATTTGCTTATTCATATAAAGCCTTATTTCCGTGGGCAGGGAGAGTGGTGGCATCCATTTTGCCGTATCCGGTCCCACCTTGAGGAGGTGGAAGACATAGAGAGCCTCCAATGCTGTCCAAAGTATATTCGAATGCATGCTACAATAGTGCTTATTCATGTGAAGCCTTATTTCCGTGGGCAGGGAGAGTGGTGGCATCCATTTTGCCGTATCCGGTCCCACCTTGAGGAGGTGGAAGACATAGAGAGCCTCCAATGCTGTCCAAAGTATATTCGAATGCATGCTACAATAGTGCTTATTCATGTGAAGCCTTATTTCCGTGGGCAGGGAGAGTGGTGGCATCCATTTTGCCGTATCCGGTCCCACCTTGAGGAGGTCGAAGACATAGAGAGCCTCCAATGCTGTCCAAAGTATATTCGAATGCATGCTACAATAGTGCTTATTCATGTGAAGCCTTATTTCCGTGGGCAGGGAGAGTGGTGGCATCCATTTTGCCGTATCCGGTCCCACCTTGAGGAGGTGGAAGACATAGAGAGCCTCCAATGCTGTCCAAAGTATATTCGAATGCATGCTACAATAGTGCTTATTCATGTGAAGCCTTTTTTCCGTGGGCAGGGAGAGTGGCGGCATCCATTTTGCCGTATCCGGTCCCACCTTGAGGAGGTGGAAGACATAGAGAGCCTCCAATGCTGTCCAAAGTATATTCGAATGCATGTTACAATAGTGCTTATTCATGTGAAGCCTTATTTCCGTGGGCCGCAGGGAGAGTGGTGGCATCCATTTTGCCGTATCCGGTCCCACCTTGAGGAGGTCGAAGACATAGAGAGCCTCCAATGCTGTCCAAAGTATATTCGAATGCATGCTACAATAGTGCTTATTCATGTGAAGCCTTATTTCCGTGGGCAGGGAGAGTGGTGGCATCCATTTTGCCGTATCCGGTCCCACCTTGAGGAGGTCGAAGACATAGAGAGCCTCCAATGCTGTCCAAAGTATATTCGAATGCATGCTACAATAGTTCTTATTCATGTGAAGCCTAATTTCCGTGGGCAGGGAGAGTGGTGGTATCCATTTTGCCGTATCCGGTCCCACCTTGAGGAGGTGGAAGAAATAGAGAGCCTCCAATGCTGTCCAAAGTATATTCGAATCCATGCTACAATAGTGCTTATTCATGTGAAGCCTTATTTCCGTGGGCAGGGAGAGTGGTGGCATCCATTTTGCCGTATCCGGTCCCACCTTGAGGAGGTGGAAGACATAGAGAGCCTCCAATGCTGTCCAAAGTATATTCGAATGCATGCTACAATAGTGCTTATTCATGTGAAGCCTTATTTCCGTGGGCAGGGAGAGTGGTGGCATCCATTTTGCCGTATCCGGTCCCACCTTGAGGAGGTGCAAGACATAGAGAGACTCCAATGCTGTCCAAATTATATTCGAATCTATGCTACAATAGTGCTTATTCATATAAAGCCTTATTTCCGTGGGCAGGGAGAGTAGTGTCATCCGTTTTGCCGTATCCGGTCCCACCTTGAGGAGGTGGAAGACATAGAGAGCCTCCAATGCTGTCCAAAGTATATTCGAATCTATGCTACAATAGTGCTTATTCATATAAAGCCTTATTTCCGTGGGCAGGGAGAGTAGTGGCATCCATTTTGCCGTATCCGGTCCCACCTTGAGGAGGCGGAAGACATAGAGAGCCTCCAATGCTGTCCAAAGTATATTCGAATGCATGCTACAATAGTGCTTATTCATATAAAGCCTTATTTCCGTGGGCAGGGAGAGTGGTGGCATCCATTTTGCCGTATCCGGTCCCACCTTGAGGAGGTGGAAGACATAGACAGCCTCCAATGCTGTCCAAAATATATTCGAATGCATGCTCCAAAGTGCTTATTCATGTGAAGCCTTATTTCCGTGGGCAGGGAGAGTGGTGGCATCCATTTTGCCGTATCCGGTCCCACCTTGAGGAGGTCGAAGACATAGAGAGCCTCCAATGCTGTCCAAAGTATATTCGAATGCATGCTACAATAGTGCTTATTCATGTGAAGCCTTATTTCCGTGGGTAGGGAGAGTGGTGACATCCATTTTGCCGTATCCGGTCCCACCTTGAGAAGGTGCAAGACATAGAGAGACTCCAATGCTGTCCAAATTATATTCGAATCCATGCTACAATAGTGCTTATTCATTTAAAGCCTTATTTCCGTGGGCAGGGAGAGTGATGGCATCCATTTTGCCGTATCCGGTCCCACCTTGAGGTGGAAGACATAGAGAGCCTCCAATGCTGTCCAAAGTATATTCGAATGCATGCTACAATAGTGCTTAATCATATAAAGCCTTATTTCCGTGGGCAGGGAGAGTGGTGGCATCCATTTTGCCGTATCCGGTCCCACCTTGAGGAGGTGGAAGACATAGAGAGCCTCCAATGCTGTCCAAAGTATATTGGAACGCATGCTACAATAGTGCTTATTCATATAAAGTCTTATTTCCGTGGGCAGGGAGAGTGGTGGCATCCATTTTGCCGTATCCGGTTCCACCTTGAGGAGGTGGAAGACATAGAGAGCCTCCAATGCTGTCCAAAGTATATTCGAATCCATGCTACAATAGTGCTTATTCATATAAAGCCTTATTTCAGTGGGCAGGGAAAGTGGTGGCATCCATTTTGCCGTATCCGGTCCCACCTTGAGGAGGTGGAAGACATAGAGAGCCTCCAATGCTGTCCAAAGTATATTCGAATGCATGCTACAATAGTGCTTATTCATATAAAGCCTAATTTCCGTGGGCAGGGAGAGTGGTGGCATCCATTTTGCCGTATCCGGTCCCACCTTGAGGAGGTGGAAGACATAGAGAGCCTCCAATCCTGTCCAAAGTATATTCGAATGCATGCTACAATAGTGCTTATTCATATAAAACCTTATTTCCGTGGGCAGGGAGAGTGGTGGCATCCATTTTGCCGTATCTGGTCCCACCTTGAGGAGGTGGAAGACATAGAGAGCCTCCAATGCTGTCCAAAGTATATTCGAATGCATGCTACAATAGTGCTTATTCATATAAAGCCTAATTTCCGTGGGCAGGGAGAGTGGTGGCATCCATTTTGCCGTATCCGGTCCCACCTTGAGGAGGTGGAAGACATAGAGAGCCTCCAATGCTGTCCAAAGTATATTCGAATGCATGCTACAATAGTGCTTATTCATATAAAGCCTTATTTCCGTGGGCAGGGAGAGTGGTGGCATCCATTTTGCCGTATCCGGTCCCACCTTGAGGAGGTGGAAGACATAGAGAGCCTCCAATGCTGTCCAAAGTATATTCGAATGCATGCTACAATAGTGCTTATTCATATAAAGCCTTATTTCCGTGGGCAGGGAGAGTGGTGGCATCCATTTTGCCGTATCCGGTCCCACCTTGAGGAGGTGGAAGACATAGAGAGCCTCCAATGCTGTCCAAAGTATATTCGAATGCATGCTACAATAGTGATTATTCATATAAAGCCTTATTTCCGTGGGCAGGGAGAGTGGTGGCATCCATTTTGCCGTATCCGGTCCCACCTTGAGGAGGTGGAAGACATAGAGAGCCTCCAATGCTGTCCAAAGTATATTCGAATGCATGCTACAATAGTGCTTATTCATGTGAAGCCTTATTTCCGTGGGGAGGGAGAGTGGTGGCATCCATTTTGCCGTATCCGGTCCCACCTTGAGGAGGTGGAAGACATAGAGAGCCTCCAATGCTGTCCAAAGTATATTCGAATGCATGCTACAATAGTGCTTATTCATATAAAGCCTAATTTCCGTGGGCAGGGAGAGTGGTGGCATCCATTTTGCCGTATCCGGTCCCACCTTGAGGAGGTGGAAGACATAGAGAGCCTCCAATCCTGTCCAAAGTATATTCGAATGCATGCTACAATAGTGGTTATTCATATAAAACCTTATTTCCGTGGGCAGGGAGAGTGGTGGCATCCATTTTGCCGTATCTGGTCCCACCTTGAGGAGGTGGAAGACATAGAGAGCCTCCAATGCTGTCCAAAGTATATTCGAATGCATGCTACATTAGTGCTTATTCATATAAAGCCTATTTTACGTGGGCAGGGAGAGTGGTGGCATCCATTTTGCCGTATCCGGTCCCACCTTGAGGAGGTGGAAGACATAGAGAGCCTCCAATGCTGTCCAAAGTATATTCGAATGCATGCTACAATAGTGCTTATTCATATAAAGCCTTATTTCCGTGGGCAGGGAGAGTGGTGGCATCCATTTTGCCGTATCCGGTCCCACCTTGAGGATGTGGAAGACATAGAGAGCCTCCAATGCTGTCCAAAGTATATTCGAATGCATGCTACAATAGTGCTTATTCATATAAAGCCTTATTTCCGTGGGCAGGGAGAGTGGTGGCATCCATTTTGCCGTATCCGGTCCCATCTTGAGGAGGTGGAAGACATAGAGAGCCTCCAATGCTGTCCAAAGTATATTCGAATGCATGCTACAATAGTGCTTATTCATATAAAGCCTTATTTCCGTGGGCAGGGAGAGTGGTGGCATCCATTTTGCCGTATCCGGTCCCACCTTGAGGAGGTGGAAGACATAGAGAGCCTCCAATGCTGTCCAAAGTATATTCGAATGCATGCTACAATAGTGCTTATTCATATAAAGCCTAATTTCCGTGGGCAGGGAGAGTGGTGGCATCCATTTTGCCGTATCCGGTCCCACCTTGAAGAGGTGGAAGACATAGAGAGCCTCCAATGCTGTCCAAAGTATATTCGAATGCATGCTACAATAGTGCTTATTCATATAAAGCCTAATTTCCGTGGGCAGGGAGAGTGGTGGCATCCATTTTGCCGTATCCGGTCCCACCTTGAGGAGGTGGAAGACATAGAGAGCCTCCAATGCTGTCCAAAGTATATTCGAATGCATGCTACAATAGTGCTTATTCATATAAAGCCTAATTTCCGTGGGCAGGGAGAGTGGTGGCATCCATTTTGCCGTATCCGGTCCCACCTTGAGGAGGTGGAAGACATAGAGAGCCTCCAATGCTGTCCAAAGTATATTCGAATGCATGCTACAATAGTGCTTATTCATGTGAAGCCTTATTTCCGTGGGCAGGGAGAGTGGTGGCATCCATTTTGCCGTATCCGGTCCCACCTTGAGGAGGTGGAAGACATAGAGAGCCTCCAATGCTGTCCAAAGTATATTCGAATCCATGCTACAATAGTGGCTATTCATATAAAGCAGAAGAGATCAATAGTTAGTATAAATAGTCTCCTAAAAAGTATGTCTCACCTAATCAATAGAGTATAAATAATAAATCATTTTCATAGAGAAAATCATTTGCAACTAGATTAGTTTTTTGTGCGTAAATGTTGCTTTGGAACATTCTGTTTCAGATTAAGCATAATATGGGCCCCAGCACTAAACATCAAACGCGTAACGCACCCTTTCAAGAAAAAGACAAATGCTTTGTGATGCACAGAGATCAGCTGTATGAGGCCAAGGTGGTCAAAGTGGAAGCGGAAAGTGATGGGAATAAGAGGTATTTGGTGCACTATAACGGATGGGGAAACAGACACGATGAGTGGAAGGCTCACTCCGGTATGTGTGATTGTTGGTTGGGTTCGAATGGTAGTTTCAGTTTTATGTTTTTTTTAGTCATCCGTTTATCATTTATTACACATGCGCGCTTAATCGAGCGTAGTGTAATAGTACGACTATTCTTTTTAAGAGTCGATGAAGTTAGTCGCACTGATTTTTTTTTGTTTTTTTTTCACGAAGTCTTGAAATATATTCAGGCTCAAATTAACTTTTTCGCGGTTTGACTTTTGAGTTCTTAACGCTTGCGAATAGCAAACGATATCAAATCGGAATATAGGCTTATTTCGGATTAATTATTAGTTTAACAAACTCAGTTGAATCACTTGACAGCATTTGATATGCTGCTGACATGCTCAATTTCATGAAAACTCGAATTTAACTGGGTGAAATATATATATTTTTTCAGAATCTTTTTGATTCTTTTTCAGATGCAATTAGTTTGGTTTTTTCGGCTTCCAAATTTTGTCAGCTTACTAGCCGGATGTATTAATTTTTTAAATACTTTTTCTATTCAATTGTTGCATGTTTTTCGATTTGTTTTTTTTTTTAATTCAAATTTAGCCTGCTGTCCAGCGCATCTGGTTTAGAGGTAACACATAAGCTTGAGACGACCAAGGCTTGGGGTTTTCATCCGGGCCGGGACTTTTTCAAACTAGAAATTTTCTGTTCTTTTGGACTATCGTCCGTCTGTTTATTTGTCTGCTTAGTTTCCGTATCACAAACTCTTTCTTTTTCTAGATTCAGCTTTCTTTTTTATCTTTCTGAATACCACTAGTGGAAGTACTCGAGTCACAAAATTTTTTTGCTGAAATTTTGTTGCCTTTTTTTCAAAATCAATCGAAAATATTTGCTTTGTCGTTGAATGTGCACGAAAAAGTCAGGCAACCTTTTTTTTAATGCTAAAAACTAACTCCACAAAGAACTCTATAAAAGCGTTCGAAAAATTAAGCTTGAAATTTTTCTCTTTTTTTTCTAGTTTCTTTTTCAACCTCACTGTTGGAAGTTATCTTTACTACTTCTTGATGAACATGCTGTTTTAATGCTGTTGTATCGCTAGTGGTGCGAAGCTCAACCTTGCCACTGTGTTTTAAAATCAGTTCATTTTCTTTCTTAAAAGGAAGGCAAACTGCACTATCGAACAGCAAAAGTGTAAAGATCACGAAACGCGTGATCGATTTCGTTTTGAATGTGAATTTTCTTTTTGCAGCTTTCCCAGCGGAATAAAAATTTAAAATCATTGATTCAGTTTCTTCAAATTGGTTTAATTTTATTTGAAAACTGTCAAGAATAACTTCAACAGTTGAGAGTCTTTTTGATTTTCAACAGTTGAAAATCTTTAAAAAAAACAATTCAGGTTTTTTCTGTTTAATTGCGTGCATTAACTTTTTCTACCTTTCTGTTGGTTATGTTTGTTTGTCTACTTAGTTGGCTCATCTTAGAATTGTTTCTTTTGCTGTACCCGATTTTACTTGTAGTTGTTTTTAGTTTTTCGATTTACTCCCGCTTTTCGTAATTTTAATTGCCTTGATTCGTATTTTTTCGCTTCAACTTTTTATTGGGCGTAGTTGTTTTTAGTGTTTTGATTGACTCCTGCTTTTCGTATTTATAATAGCTTTGATTCGTATTTTTTTTCGCTTCAACCTTTTATTGGGCCCAAACTTTTTCGGCTAACTTTTTATCGGATTAGTGACTTAATTTTAAGTCGTATCAAGAGAAATATATTTTTCATTCTACTCTCCGGATCGTACAAATTGCTTAATGACAATTTTGTTGTACTGGAGTGACAATTTTTTTGTACTGGAGTGAAAAGTGTTTTATGACAATTCTGTTTTCGGTTGTACTGGAGTTTACTCAAGTTTTGTCGGCTCAGTTGCTGCTCAATGATTGTTTTCGAGTTTTCATTAAATGCCATCGATTGTGTTTCTGGACGTGTTATCCGCAAAGAAAATCAGTCGAGACAACATTTGAAGTTTTTTGTGGTTTTTAAACATTTTTCTTGAAGTTAGTGGTTTCCTGTCTGCTAGCTTGCAATGCTACTTTAATGCGGTATCGGAACTGGTGCGAAGCTCCGCTCCGCATCTGTGTTTTTATTTGGTAGGCCAAAGTGAATTCTCAGTTTTGATTTCGTTCGAAAAAAAATTAAATAACATAATTTGCGGACTACCATGATCCGTGTTTGTTAGACGAGATTCAGGGTTCAGGTGACATCTCAAGCACAAAAAGAAACTGGGGGCGGGTTTTCGAAAATTTTCGTGGCTTTTTGTGTTGGATCGCCAGACGTTTTTTTGAGCTCTCTTAAAACACCATAAAAGACCGTATCTTGGCAAAATTTTGTGCATCGCTAGCAAGTTTTTGAAAAAAAACGGACCAGAAAGGTAGTTTTTTGGTCAGTTGTGGCCAAAAAAAGCATTTTTTTGGCGCGCATTGCCTTTCAAAATTAAAATACATTGGCGTTTTAGTTTCTAGTAAAAAATTTAGGGTTGGTCGAACGAAAAAGGATATCATAAAAAATAGTAGCAAAGGGGGACCCCTTGTTTGGTGGTAAGGGGTCCGAATTGAATCTCCATGAGAAGAAGCGTCCCCAATATCCCCCACTAAATTGGCCTCTGATTTACGTCCTTTCTTAATGGCTAAACATGGTAAGAAGCGTGTTGTGCTGACTTAGACTTGTTGAATGTTTCGATTTTAAATATCACCCCGTTACAAAAGAGGGGATTATTTATTAGATACACAGTTCGCATATGCTGAACTATTAAATTAATTACTCCTAATAAGGGTGAGCATTTTGTTCTTGATACCATTGGGAGTCTCTTTTTTATTTCTTCTCAAGGTTGAGACGGCTTACATGATTTTTTTTTCACGCAGAACTGCTCCGAATAACTGAAGAAAACAAGAAGAAACAACAAGAGCTGCGGAGAAATGCTCAATCGCCAGAACCTTCGACAGATCGCAGTCGCAAGAACAAATCAGCTTCTAAAGACAGAGATACTCCTGGATCATCGTCGAGGAAACAGAATTCATCTGGAAACAAGTCATCGAGTATAGCAGGCGATGGAATGGACACTTCAGATTTGTCCAGTGGAAGACCGGACTCGCCAGACTCCGTGAAGAGCGAGGTGTCTTGTTCTAGCGGCAAGGGCAGTGTGGGCGAGGGTAGTAGACCTAAGGCTACTGGTGCCTCCAAAACGCCTCTGAGATGTGAGTATCAAGAAAGGATCGTTCCTGTTTGTGTTTTAGTTTTTCTTGCAATAGGCAATAAGTGAATAAAATCATCAAATATCGATTGTCGAACAAATTGGATGCAGAAACAGCCTGATTATTGGCATGCAGTCTTTTCTCTAAATTACAAGAGCTTGGGGTGGGTCGTGTGCTTTCTCAAAGCTGAAGAAAATACAGGGAAATAAATACTATTCTGCTAGTTGATTGCAACTCATATCGACTGTTTTCGTGGTCTTCTTCCTCTGAAATTGTTCATACATGAAAATAGTATCGCTGTAAAATCCCTTCGCTTCACTTGAGAAGCAGGGGCGCATTTAGGGGGAGGAGGTTTGTATGCCCCTCAACTCAGGGATTCCACATACTCACCAACCAAAGGTCCCCCTTTGGTATTATTTTATGACATCCCTTTTCGGACAACCGACCAAGCTTAAAATTTCTCTTGTATTCTTCGGCGCCATTATATTCTTATTGTTAATTGGAGCGTGCTACCAAAAAATGCAAGTATTCGGTCAAATGTTTGCAGAAAGTTCCTAAAAACGCCATTTTGGCCTGTTTTTCAATGATTCGACTGCGGCGCATAAATTTCGGTCAAAATAGGGTCTCTAGTGTTCTGGGATTGCTCGGTAAATCAATTTGGTCGACCTTACTAAAAGGTAAAAAACTGAACGTTGTTTCAGACACTTATATAGGTCGCCGTGATCTTTTTTTGTTTTTTTTTATCGAGAAAAGCCGTAAAATTAGTTTGACTTCTGACTTTTTTTGAGTTCTGTTCATTTTCTTTGTTATAGGAAGGCAAACGAACAGCAAAAGTTAGTTGGAATTTTGGGGAATTTTTGTCTATTTTCATCGTAGATCCAAGTGTTTGTATTTGAAAAATGGGGAGGAACTTAGTATTCGGGTCTGTTAGTTTTTTTGTTATTTGAAAAATGGTGAGGAACTTGGTATTCGGGTCTGTTTTAGTTTTTTTTCTTTTTTTATTTTCCGCCCAAAATCAGGTACCACAAATAATCATCGGAATCGGTCGAGTAATATATCATAATAAAAGCTTCTTAGTCGTGATTCAAAAGACACGAAGTTCCCAGTGTTGAGAAAACTGGTTTGAATTTTTTGATTTTTGCTCTAATTTCGAGCAAATAAAGGCTAGCGGACAGCCCTATTATAGTTTTTTTATGCTTATATTAAGCCGCTAAAACTTAGTTTCTGTTTCAATCGAGTTGTATTATTTGTTGGGTTTTTTTCGAGCAAAAAATTTGGAAATCAAAAATTCAATAAAATTTTGACATTTTGTTGTTTTTCTAATCACTTTCTTTTACAAAAACTGTTGTCCATTTTTCCTATTTTCCTATGATTGTCGAATATGACTAAGTTGTAGTTTTTCTTTCAGATCCTTTTATCACACCGCGTAGAAAAAAAAGCTAATTTGAAAAAAGATACTATTTTTTTGTATTTTTGAAGACTATGGTCAGAACATTCTCTCCTTTTTACACAGTAACCAGCTGTCTTTGTTTTTTATTTTTTATTTAATTTTTTCATTAGGCAATAAAAAATTCAATCATCCTGTACAATAAACGTGAAGGTGAAGTCCAATAATCACAGATTACCTAGGAGCATCCACAGGCCAAAGACCCTCATTATATGCCCCTAAACATGTTTATAAACATCAAATTAAGATAATATAATCAAAGAAAAACAAAATAATTAACTTAATATAATAATATAATATAATAAAAACTTAATTTTTTTTTGGAAAAAAAATTTACTATTTTTGTCACTGCTCATTAGGGACGGCCCCGGTCTGTGATGGGGTCTCTCAGTACTCATTATACGTGAGAGTCCAGGTACACTCTAGAATGATCAGAATGACTTTCAAGTGCTCAATTAAGGCACTAATGAGTAAGTGGTTTAGTTTCCCATCTTTGAGCACTGAAAGGCACATTCACTAACCAGAGACCGTCCTAAATTTGTTTTAGTAATCACCCGAAGATATTATTAACCAAATTATCATTATCAATGATGCAATCATCTAGCACTAAATAAAATCATGTTTAGTTTTTATTAAACCTAATTTCAAAAACAGAAAATTTATGAAAATATTTGAAAACTGTACACAGTCTACGTCTTTTCATTATTTTCACACCTGTACCACTGGTATACTTAGGTAAAAACTCTTAATGACGAACTTCGAAGTTCCCTCCTTTGTCAAATTCAATTAAGTTTCGAAACAGTTTGACTACCTCCCCAAAAAGTTTATTAATGTTGAGTTCACAAACTGTCTCAATACGATTTTGTACCATTTCATCCTTAAAACTTTCGCGATATCGTTTATTGAAAGTTTTGCGGTATAATCTCCGCTGCGATTTCGGAATTCGGCTCAAACTGGTAATAGATGTTCATCCATAAACAAGCACGCCATTTTGAATTACCTGTTTAATCAAAAAGTTAGAGAATTTGGAGATGTGCTTTCGATGGAAAATATAGTTTATACGGTATATAAGTCCACAATATATAGCTATTTTCGATGCAACAAACTGTACATGATCGTTGAATTTTAATTTCTCATCTACATATATGTCCAAATATTTGACAGATTGAACCTGTTCCGTTTCAGGGCCTTTTTTGTGATAAGGTTTTCTGTTGAGGTCTTGCTGATCTTGATAACTTCTGTTTCATATTCGTTTAGTGTAAGACTGTAAGATTTCAACCATTGGTTAACCTCCTTCGGATCTTTTGCTAATGAGTAATTTTTGATTGACTTCTGAATTATGGGTGTATCATCTGCAAACAAAGTCACTTTTTTGCCATCACAACGTTGGGGTAATTCATTGATCTATTTCAGAAACAGAACGACTCGAGCCTTCTGGCTTACTAATAACGGTTGGTATAATTCGAGCTTTGAAAGTAACTTCTTATGATTAATTGTCTCGAACGATTTTTTGTAAGTCTAAAAAGCAGCCCGCAGGTTTTTTTCTAATAAAAAAAGATGAATTTTGTCAAAAACAGAAGCAATTGCATCACACTACTTTTCCTATTTTAAAAATATTAGGATTCATGCCATTTTTTATGCCTTCATTAAAAAGTTTTGTCGAGTAATGACTTAGTATTGGCTTACAAATCTTCAAGGCTGGGTACGATATTTAATCATCTCCCTCAAACGATTTGTTTGAGATCAATTTAAAAACATTTGAAGTTTTTTTTACTGTAGTTGAACAAAGCCATATGGATGCATCAACTGCTTGAATTCTTCAACTATCTGGATCAGTATCAAAAAAATTGACTTTGGCGCCTATTGGAACAAAGAAATTATTCAGGAGCTCTGCATTGGGTTGAATAAACTCTAAGTGTGCTCTGGCTTTTCCTTTATCTTTAGTTTCATTTTAAATCTTAAATAGATCTTTCTTAGTTTTTGTAGATGACGCCCTGTTGTGATAGTAAAAATTCATGGCTTTGCGCATAATATTTTTATTTTTTCTACTCTGATTTCTGTGTTTATGAGGTGTGTGTTCTGTCAGTGGTTAACTTTTCTTGGAGTAATCTATTCTTTCTAGATATTTTACTTTTAATGGAATTTGATACCCATAGCGTCTTCTTTTTTTGTACAGGGTAAGTTTTGAGTGGCACATGTTTTTCATTACACTTGAGACAATATGGACAAGGTTGTTTCGACAATGCATTTGTGCTGGAACTATGATCCAGTAATCTAAGACTGTTTTGAAGCTCATGCAAAAACAATAGTATTGGGAGGGTTGCTTCAATGTTCGATTGGCCTGAGAGTAATAAGTTCATTTACCAAACAGATGTTTGTATCTAATGTCGTAGTGCATAGTGATCAGGGATATCAATTTATCATTATTAACGGAATCTCCGCAATTAGATATGACTTAATCAATAGAAGTTATAGATAGTGTTGTTTTGCGAGTAATAAGCCGCTCTGATATCACTTTATAGTCTAATTAAAAGTCTAAAAAGCAGCCCGAAGGTTTTTTTTCTAATTAAAAAAGAAGAATTTTGTCAAAAACAGAAGCAATTGCATCACACTACTTTTCCTATTTTAAAAGTGTTAGGAATAATGCCATTTTTTATGCCTTCATTAAAAAGTTTTGTCAAGTAATGACTTATTATTGGCTTACAAATCTTCATGGCTGGGTACGATATTTAATCATGTCCCTCAAACGATTTGTTTGAGATCAATTTGAAGACATTTTAAGTTTCTTTTACTGTAGTTGAACAAAGCCATATGGATGCATCAACTGCTTGAATTCTTCAACTATCTGGATCAGTATCAAAAAAATTGACTTTGGCGCCTATTGGAACAAAGAAATTATTCAGGAGCTCTGCATTGGGTTGAATAAACTCTAAGTGTGCTTTGGCTTCTCCTTTATCTTTAGTTTCATTTTAAATCTTAAATAGATCTTTATTAGTTTTTGTAGATGACGCCCTGTTGTGATAGTAAGAATTCATGGCTTTGCGCATAATATTTTTATTTTTTCTACTCTGATTTCTGTGTTTATGAGGTGTGTATTCTGTCAGTGGTTAACTTTTCTTGGAGTAATCTATTCTTTCTAGATATTTTACTTTTATTGGAATTTGATACCCATAGCGTCTTCTTTTTTTGTACAGGGTAAGTTTTGAGTGGCACATGTTTTTCATTAACACTTGAGACAATATGGACAAGGTTGCTTCGACAATGCATTTGTGCTGGAACTATGATCCAGTAATCTAAGACTGTTTTGAAGCTCATGCAAAAACAATAGTATTGGGAGGGTTGCTTCAATGTTCGATTGGCCTGAGAGTAATAAGTTCATTTACCAAACAGATGTTTGTATCTAATTTCGTAGTGCATAGTGATCAGGGATATCAATTTATCATTATTAACGGATTCTCCGCAATTAGATATGACTTAATCAATAGAAGTTATAGATGGTGTTGTTTTGCGAGTAATAAGCCGCTCTGATATCACTTTATAGTCTAATTAAAAGTCTAAAAAGCAGCCCGCAGGTTTTTTTTTCTAATTAACAAAAAATGAATTTTGTCAAAAACAGAGGCGATTGCATCACAGTACTTTTCCTATTTTAAAAGTTTTAGGAATAATGCCATTTTTTATGCCTTCATTAAAAAGTTCTGTCAAGTAATGACTTATTATTGGCTTACAAATCTTCATGGCTGGGTACGATATTTAATCATTTCCCTCAAACGATTTGTTTGAGATCAATTTGAAGACATTTGAAGTTTCTTTTACTGTAGTTGAACAAAGCCATATGGATGCATCAACTGCTTGAATTCTTGAACCACCTGGATCAGTATCAAAAAAATTGACTTTGGCGCCTATTGGAACAAAGAAATTATTCAGGAGCTCTGCATTGGGTTGAATAAACTCTAAGTGTGCTTTGGCTTTTCCTTTATCTTTAGTTTCATTTTAAATCTTAAATAGATCTTTATTAGTTTTTGTAGATTACGCCCTGTTGTGATAGTAAGAATTCATGGCTTTGCGCATAATATTTTTATTTTTTCTACTCTGGTTTCTGTGTTTATGAGGTGTGTGTGCTGTCAGTGGTTAACTTTTCTTGGAGTAATCTATTCTTTTTAGATATTTTACGTTTAATGGAATTTGATACCCATAGCGTCTTCTTTTTTTGTACAGGCTAAGTTTTGAGTGGCACATGTTTTTCATTAACACTTGAGACAATATGGACAAGGTTGTTTCGACAATGCATTTGTGCTGGAACTATGATCCAGTAATCTAAGACTGTTTTGAAGCTCATGCAAAAACAATAGTATTGGGAGGGTTGCTTCAATGTTCGATTGGCCTGAGAGTAATAAGTTCATTTACCAAACAGATGTTTGTATCTAATGTCTTAGTGCATAGTTATCAGGGATATCAATTTATCATTATTAACGGAATCTCCGCAATTAGATATGACTTAATCAATAGAAGTTATAGATGGTGTTGTTTTGCGAGTAATAAGCCGCTCTGATATCACTTTATATTCCTAAGATTTAACTGTTTGCGTTAAGTTAAACGATTCCTTGCAGAATTTACATAAATAATTGAGTCACCAACAAAAATAGTATTGTTTCGATAAAAGAGTTCAAGCTTTTCTGCAAAATCCTCTCCACACTGATGAAGTTGGTTATAGAAGCAGATAAATAGCGACTTTACCACCTTGTGTCTCTATTTTTAACAGTGGTGCTGAAGAGTTCTCTAATTTAAAGTGTTTAGAATTATCGTTATCGCAAAGCGATGTTCTGATAGCGTTGTTAATGTTCGGTTAAAATTCATGATCTTCAAGTAAGCATGTACTTCATAGCAGTGGCACTTGAGGATCTTATATAAAGATAGAGAATTGTGAAACATTCGCTTCAACTCATTTTTGGCGAAATGTTTATTTTTCAAAAAGTTAGCAGTAGCGCCAGAAGAAATAATTCATTTTCAACTTTTTTGACATCTATCATTTTCTGAATCGATCTCTCTGAGCCTCTTCAAGAAATGTTGTGTTTTTGGGTCGTTCCGTTAGCTTGCTGTTTATGTTCAAGTTCGGTAGCGGGTTTCAGCAGAATGGATTGCATGATCGCTCTATCTTTAAGGTCCTTGAGAGTTTTTTCGCTAAAAAGAGGAATCGTTGACCTCTTTCCATTTTGTGCAGCACAGAAATTTTTTACCTCTTAATTATTCGTTGTAATTATAAAATTCATTTCATGAGCCGTTTTTGTAGCTCGTGGTCATGTTTTGATAGCCTCTTTTTGAAAAATTTAGGTTTCTTGTTATAAGGAATTGGCTTCGATGCGAGCATTGAACGCCTGGCATTTTTTTCATTCTTGTCTTCAAAATAAATATACCTTGGTATTAGTGTTGGCGGATAGTTTCTTGCTCCTTTTTTTCCAATGAATGACATACCATGAGGTCGTTTGGTTTGAGTGAAAATCCCAGATAGTTATGGAAGAAGTGGCAAACTCCTTGATTGAGGTTATGTCTGTTAATTGGCGCATTTTCCAAGATTATGCAATCCTTGGAGCTGTACCTATCCTGCTCGCTCATTGGCAAGTCCAGTTGTCATAGAATTATTGAGTTTTTGGAAATTTCTAACTTTTGAGCTTCAATAGGCAGTGTCTTGGATTGCAAATCCTCCACAAAAATAAAAAATTTGTTTTCGACACTCATTGCTTCAATCAATTGCTTCTTATCATTGCCAGATTGAGCTCTCATCTCAGCCATCTGAATTTATTTAATAGTTATAATGCAACAATTAGGCTACAGGCTTAGTTGCTTTATTTTGTGTCGCTTCAAAGGCAAAAAATTGATTGTTGTTTAAAAAAAAACAGGTAGTTTCTGTTTCAAGATTTCAAAAACTTGAAACTTAATTGCTCGATGTTTTTATGACAACAGTTTCTTATGGTGTTTTTTAATTTTAGGCTCCCCAATTGTTTTTGGCTGGGGTGCCGTTCAGTGAATACTAGAAGCTTATTTAATACTAGTGATTGTGTGATTAGATTTTTTTTTTTAAATTATTTTCACTTTTCCCAAATCGTTCTCGATTTGTTTTTTCTTTTTTGTTTGCTAGCTTGCAATAATAAACGGTGGGAAGCTCCGCTTCGCCTCTGTGTAATATCAATAGTATTGTCTGTGTTTGACTTCAAGTTGTGTATGTGTTTGAACTTTGAAATTCTGTCCACTAAGCAAGTTTGTGTTTTAGTTTGTATTTTACCTGTACGAGAAGTCTGTATTTTAACGGTTTAAGAGTTAATTCAGCTTAAAGAATGCGCTGTAACGTTGAAAAATGTTCCATAGCTTTGGTTCACCAAATTGGTTTGGTAAATAAAAACAAATTATGGTGTTGAAAGAATTGGCGATGCGGGCTTTTAAATTGCTTTTTTGCGAGTTCTTCCCAAAAATCTGAAATATGGGTGCTCATATAAGTCGAAACGCCTTTTGGTGCATTATAAAGTTTGTTGCCTGAAAAATTGTCCATTATTTGTTAAATCATTTAATCATTTTAGCATCTCGTAATATTGACGCTGGATCCACATCAGAGGAGAAACAACCTCGAAAAAGACAAAGGAAAGAGGAACCGCATGGACAAGGAAGTCCGGAAGCCAAGAAAACACTGGTGAAACTAGAAACTGAGGTAGTAGAAACGACGTCAAAATTGGACGCCGCAAAACCACAACAAACAAAACTAACTCCTGATTCTGCCAAAACAAATAAAACGACTCCTGAGTCAAACGCGAAAACCGGTCAAGTTTCACTCACGGTAGAAATTCCGAGAGCCCTGAAAGAGATTCTAGTTGACGACTATGATGCAGTAGTTCGACAAAAAATGCTGGTTGATATTAACAGTCCTAAGTCAATATCAGTGTGGCAAGTTATCGAAGATTTCGTGCTTGAATGTGACAACGAGCTTGGACATCATGTGGCGTATGGAGTAAGAGATTTGTTCAATGTCGTTCTGGGCTCGAACTTATTATACAAATTTGAAAGACCTCAGTATGATGAATTGATAAGTCAGTCTTCAAAAGAAATTGAAATGTGTAAAGTTTACGGACCTGAGCATTTTTTGAGATTTTTCTTGAAGATAAATGAGTTTATGCAAGAAGCGAAGTTGGGAAAGAATAATTTAGCAACTATTGTTCCTCATATGAAAACTATGGTTGAGTTTTTGACGAGTAATGTGGGCAAGTATTTCGACTCCAAGAATCGTTATGTGCCGTCTTCTGCTGACTACCTGAGAAAGAGCATAGCTGATTATGACCAGTAAACTTTCTATTTTGGTCTCGAAACTCAAAAACTGAACTTTTTATGCGATTGTTGTTAGTTTGACATTAAGTTGTTTTGGAGGTTAATTTGATTTTGCAAATATTGTTTTTGATGGAGTCATTGAAAGCGTTAAGGCGCGTTCTTTATATCACCTCTCAGAGGTCACTATGTCCTAAAGCGAAAAGTTGAAGTAACCGAGAACTATGCAAACTGAGCGCAATGATGATAGAATAAGATTCCAAACGTTGCAGGAGGCCACATCTTCCCCAGAGTTGCGACAGGCCTCTAGGGACGATTAAATTGAACAAGTGACGGTTCGCTCCAGTCTAGCAGTTGGTCTAGCATCAAGCCAGTCAGCGAGCAACCCAACCTCAGGAAAACCGGCGATTCAACTAAGAGCGCTCCAAGAGGAAGTGCGTGTTAATTCAATACTTTTGGCCGACACCAAGACGGATTGTTGCGGCTAATGTGCCTCTTGGGCCAAAAAAAGTGACGAGCAGAGCCGACAGCCCGAAACATCTTTTAGGACGTGATACCCAACAAAAACATAAGAACGGGCAAAAAGACTGATTGGCTGGTGGAGACTAAAACTGAAGCATATTTTTGTTTATTTTCATTTACAGTTCAAATAAGTTTTTATGGCAATAAACAATTGTTTTAAATTGCTCAAACGAGTCTCCTGACTATTATTTAGCTTGGGCATCAGCTCTATGCTGCTTCATCTCAACTTATTTAGCCAGTTGATAGAAAATGGTCACCGCGTTTCCATCTTTGCATTATACTCTCATATGGTCTAGTAGTTCGATGGAAGACCGAAAGCTGGGTCGAATCCTAGTTTAACCAAAATGATTTCCTTTTCTGAAGTAAATTTTAGACTCTTGTAAGCGTTAAAATGAGTAGAGAATATATATATTTTTGAAAGTTTGAATATATTTTTGAATCATTTTGTAATAGTGAAACTTCAATTTCGATTAACCGGCTTCGCTTTAACCGGCTCTAAAGTTCGTATTAAAACCTACCCTTTGTTGGCAAGCTCGCATAACATTGGAGCGACTGCGACGGTCACTATTTTGTTCATTATGTTTGTTGAAAAGGGAAGAGGAATCAATACTTTTTTGGAATCAATACTTTTTTCCCAACCTTGGTTGTTCAATTATTTAGTGGGCCGTTCCTGCAAGTATTTTTGCGGCAGATGAGTTTTGGGGGTATCCTACAATTTAATACCGTACAATTTAACACCGTACATTTTAACACAGTCATTCCACTACTAAACAATATAGATCCATAACAAAATAATTCCACAACAATTTAACTGCTATTTTCTAGTTTAATACCGTACATTTTAACACCTAGTCTTTTCACTACTAAAGTTAATGCTGTATGAACTTCTTATCTTAACTCTTATCACACCAAAGTTAATCCTGCAATTAACGCACGTCCCATAAAGAAAAACTTGGTTTATCTTAGTTATATATGCTAAAATGAGGCTTCCTTGCTTACTTAAGACTCTTATTGACAACTTCGTATTTTATCAAACTTGTCTAAGAATTGTATCGACAAGTTATCGAACTGATCGCAATTTTATCTGAGGACAATCGCCCTTTTTTTCGGGTTGCTAGCTTGGGACTGGGGGCTGGCAAGCCCTTCAGTTTTGCGTTTATGTGCCAACAATTCAAAAAAAGCTGACAAAGCGATCAAGTTATAGGTTTAAATTCGAGAATGATTTTAAAAAAATAATGGTTTTTAGGCTTTTGGTGTTGATTAAACCTTTTTTAATTTCTAAACCTGTTAAAAATGTCGAGAAACTTAAGCCATATTAGTCAAAGGCCGTCTAATTATCTGTGGGCATTTGAAGTTAATTTAACTATTGCTTGTTTTTGGTTCATTTCGAAACGACTCGTTGAAAATATTGGCAAAGCCATTTTATTTTGATTTGGAACGATTCATTGAAATTGTTGGCAGGATCATTTCTGTTCAAAACTTTCGCGAATTAAATAGCGCGAAATTGTCTGGCTTTAAATGGCAAAAACTTCTCTCGTTCAATTTTTCGATGCTTAGCGAAGTCCCTCGATGCTTACTGAAGTGGTAAGTCATAGAAATGTAGCGATTGTAAATTGTTAGACAACAAAAATTAGGTAGTGAAATTGTTTGCTGTCAAGTTGTCTAGAGTTAAAATGGAGAAAATTTTGTATTAACAGGGTGTTAAATTGAATGGACTGTTGTCAACTGCAGGAAGGAAAAGGGTTACAATGAAGGCACTTGTCTCATTTGCGGAAAACTTGAAGGTTTTGTTTGTCTCATTTGCTTTTATAATTGACTGAAATATGAAATGTATGTGAATTATTTTTAAAGAATTGGAGGGGATAGGTTCATTACGTCTGATACAAACTTGGAATAATGGAAAATAGAACCAATACAAAGAAATATTTTCGATCAGAATAAATTGACTGCGGAATCCACTGAAAAAAAAAACAGTGAAATCCTACCAAAAATTTTCTTCTAATTGCTACAACTGCCACAATGCGGTTTTTGTCTGCAAAATCTAAAACAAGCACGGCCCAGCATTCGTCTTTAAATTATGCAATGTCACTGGATTCTAATTTTTTCCTAACCAAAACTCAATTTTAGCGCCTAGTGTTTAAACACTTGTCTTTGAGCTCCATTAAGTTTCTGACTTCAAAGATGTTTCGAAAATTTCCGAAGCCAACACATAATGCGCATTCCTAGGATAATGTGTGCTTGACGTCGTGATGAAATTTGCTTCATTCTGAAATGTTCGAATAAGAACTGAAAAAAAGTTCCCATACCGAGCAGAAGTTTCCATCCTTTTTTAATTTAAAAGTACGACAATGTTTATTTCAACGCACAGCATAAATGCTTTTTCGTTTGATTTATTGCTCAAAATTTTACGGCTCCTTATCATAATGAAGTTAGTTTTGCTGTCATTCTCTTTAAAGTTTGTCAACTCGAATTTCGTTCAAGCCTCCCTATTAATAATTTGTTTGGCATCTGGTAGCGCAAATGTAGATCAATTATTTTGGGTCAGTTTGATTCGGTTTCAATTTTGGCCGAGCATATTTTGCACGCCTTCGCATTCATAAAAAGCTTTGATGTAATTGACCAATTTAGCCATTTTAATAAACATTCAGCCCTGCAATTTTCCAAAAAAATTGCAGGAAAAAATCTATTTGTTTTAAGCTCCGCAGAGCATTGATTTTTTCCCAATGATAAAAATATTCCGTCAAGAACTGGCAGCGTTAAAGATCTAAATTTTTGTGAAGAAAAAAAAAACAGATGCAAGTCAATTATTCTGTCATTTTCTTCAAAAGTTAAAAAAACAACAACATGCCTTTCCTATATCTCAATTTCTAAATATATCTGAATTTCAATCAAAATAATGAGCCGTTTGAACCTCTGCGCTTTTGGTGGCCTTTTTTCTAAATTTAAACTCTGTTTTTATTATCAAAATGGTCCACTTGATTTTTTAAAAAACATTGACAATAGTCAGTAAGTGATTCATTGAAAAAAGAACTAAATTTCATAACAATAAGAAAAACATGAAGATCATCGCATCACAAAAAATGTTTCACAGTTCAGTTCACTATTTTTTGCATCTATGGCCACAACTCGCTAGACTTAATTGATATATATGACATAAATTGACCGCTTTCTTTTTTTTCTATTCTTGTTTCCTAGCAAGTCTTCTTTTACTTGCGTACATGATTATTTTTTCGGGTCATTGCCCTAATTTAATTCATCTGGTGTTAATCGTTTTTGCCTCTCATTTTTCTTGCTCGCATTTTTCTTGCTCTTTCTTGCACCTCCTTGCTATATTAGCTGATTGGCTCTGTAATTTGTGATAAATGGCGTTCGACAACTCACAGCAGCGGACCATAAAATAGTTTGCTGAGTCGCAGGCAGAATGGCATACCTCAACGTATGATCTTCTAATTCCAGAATCCGAATGGATCGACAAACAGATATTCTAACTCGAAGCGAGATAAAACAACCAGTTTGAACCAATGTTAATTCATGGTCTAACCGTTCATTCGGTCGTTATTTGAGAGAAGGTCTCTCAAGGTCGATTGACCAGCCATATGCATGGTCATAACCTACATTAACATAAAACATATGTATAAATATATATAACTAGGTTTTGTCGGTCCATGCCGGATGACACAGAATATGGAGATGTGTTTGACCAGGAGGGATATCTGCAGCAATATTATGGAGCCATGCTAACCAGAACGGTAAAGGATGTTTTAAATTTCATTTTCACTTATTTTTATTTAAGTTTTGTTTTTGTTATTTTTGTTAAATCTTCTCGTGTGAACAAAAAGAAGGTCTTTTTAGAGCGAATTTTTTTTTACAGATTTCTCCGTTAAACGTGGTATATTAGCATCTTTTATAAATTGATTAAGTTTTTGTATAATTGGTCTTTCTTCGCTTTAATTGTATCTTTGCGCTGAACGAATCTTCAAAAGGTTTTGGAGTTGGCCAGTAAAAATTACTTTGAATTTAAAACAGGGGAAACATTCGTGGAGTTCCAATGTGTAAAAATAGTGTGCGTATAGTGTAAAATGTGTAAAAATAGTGTGTAAAAATAGGAAGGAAAAACCCCCTATTCAAACCCTGTCTTGAGTTTGACGACCACGAAGACATCGCGCACAGTGTCTTTTTCAAGATCCGAAATCTAGAATTTTTCATAGAATAGATAAGATATTACAGGACATGCAGGCTCCTGTGAAGGTCCTCGACATCGGCACCGGACCCTTTTGTGGTACATCTACTTTTGTATCTTCGTGTCCCCCTCAAATATGGTATAATGGCGCATTTGGAGACATTTTAGGGTGGTTTAGCTGAAAATGGATGGATGAAAATTAGTTCTCAAAAGGAGCTAATTGGATATATATTCATTTACATTCATTTGAACAGGAAACGTTATGTGCATATCAGGATTTGAAACCGTGGAATCCATTGTCTGTTCCGATTTTGTCGAGTCTAACTGGAGCTACATCAAAGGCATAATTTCTGCCACAACTAACAGCAAAACGGACACTTCAATGGTCTCAATTCATGTCGATAGTGTATGGCGACAAGACGAA